TCTTTCCCCCCCCCCCCCCCCCTTTCGGCACCCACCTCGTGCGTCGTCGCCGGAGCAAGCTGCTCTTGCGCACTCCCGATACCCTCACGACTCCCTCTCCGCACCTGCTCGCTCAGGCCACGCCAACCACCCCGACAAGCGCGCCGGCAGATCCCTGACCAGATTGTCCCTCTTCGACGGCCGGCTTCTCTTGCAACACCCGCCAGCCAATCCTTTGTCCTAGTACAGCTCCAATCCTCCATTAAGGCGCCAAACGACGCGCGTCACTTGGTCGCCAGGCAGCGTTGCCTCAAATCACGAGAGGTATCGTCTCGAGCCGGAGTTCCTTCGCTAGCTATTTCGCATCGCCGTTGTTGCTTATACCGTCTCGTTGATCGATTCGCTCGTTGCTGTGACGAGCATCGACATCGCCGGCGCACGTTTCGCTGCCCGGCATGAATCCATTCAATCAACAACCTGGTGGTGCGGGAAGAGATCCGAGATGGGCTGCTCAACAGATTGGGCAACAAGATCGATCGCTGCCCCCCTTGGTCATTCCCGATGGCGGTCACCCTCAAGCGCAGAGAGGCCCGCCACCCGTCGCACCTTCGGCTCGTCAAGGACAAAGGTCCCAGCGTCAGAATAGCGGTGGCGCTGGTGGACCCATGTCCCCGCCCGCACGCTACTCCTCTCCTCCTGTTCCTTACGACGATCGCTCGGGTGGCAGCTTCTCGCATTACGCCTCTTCGGATGGTCACAGCAGTCGAGCACCGCTTCAAGCATCTGCTGCAAATGCCCACGCCTCTGCGCCAGCACCGGCTGGTCACGACCAACGCCAGTCTTTACAACGACCACCGCCTTTGCCGCAGAGTGTCTCGTTCCAAGAGCCTGCTCAACGACCCCACGCTCAGCGCTCTGGCGCCTCAAGAGACTCCGTGATCAAGAAGGACATGGGCGACCGTCGCTTCAGCGGACAGTCTGGCGTCTCGGACATGCCAGAGTTGCGTCAAGTGAGCAGTTTGGGCGGTGGTGGTGCAGGTGGGTCCAGCGCAGCTATGCTCGATCCAGAGTCTGGCTTTTCGGGAGCCAACTTTCGCCGAAAGAAGTCTCTTGTACGTCCTGACCGTGAACGCATGGACCCAAGTCATCGACAGTGGTATTACAGAAATCATGCTGCTCAGATGGACGCCGTTGACGCGCAAGGCAGGGCAGCTGGATTTAGCTACATGCCTTCCACGACCGGACATCTACCTCAGCATGGTGCCGCCATGCCTGGCTACGAGTCTATGGGCACCCAAGGTCCCGGTGGTGGTGTGAGCGGTCTCGGCATGGTGTCTCCCCACGCTGGCCTCTTCGGGCCTGGAGCGCCAAACATGCCTCCTGGGGGTCTGGGTAGAGCGCCTCCTTCTTCTGGTCTGCGAAGAGGCAAGTCCATTCTCGGACGCGACGAAGATCAGGTCGAGACCGGCATCAACATCTTGAAGCGAGGCGTCAGCTTGCGAAGAAGTCGTTCGCAATCCCGCAAAGATGTTCCGGCTCCAGATGCAGTCTCTAGAAGGTCCAAGATTGCACCCGGCCCAGTTGGGCCTTGGATGATGTATTGCTACGTCATTACGATCTGCTTCCCAGGTCCTTGCCTTGGCGTGTTCGGCATCAAAACACCCGAGCAGCAAAGGGCTTGGAGGGAAAAGATCGGTATCCTCAGCATCGTCGCAGTCTGCATGGCTTTTGTCGGGTTCATCACTTTCGGATTTGTCAAGGTCGTGTGCGACAGCAAAGGCACCCGCTACAACCTCGGCAGAATCGAGTCTGGTACGACGCTCATCCATGGATGGGCTTACGATTTCAACGAATTCTTCCATCCGCAAGTTGGACCTTTTGCGGCAGATACTCCATACAACCACTCCAATCCTGCTTACTCCGAACCGTGGTCTACTGGAGCTCGTGATGCCAGCAATCTCTTCCAAGTTCCAAGCGAGCGTTGCCGCGCTTACGTCAACGTCAATGGTGCGCAACCTGACACTTACTTTCCTGCTGGCACTTATAAGCAGGATGGTTCGGTGGGTAGCACAAACGCCAGCTGGATTCATCCGACCGTTGTGGCACAGCGCTTCTTGCGTGCGGACAATCCCATGCGCAAAGGCCAAGTCTCCTATTCGTGGGACAACATCACAGACCCTGCACACAATCTGGCCGTTTGGAAAGGCTCGGTACTCGACCTCAACCGCCTGGGCCAACTGCACGCCAATCTCTCGAAGCCAGCAGTGTTCGCCCAGCTGAATCCACGCAACGAGAAATTCGCGGGCAGAGACGTCTCTGCAGGTGTACTGCGGTCGGAACAGGACGATGTGTTTGATTGCTTGGAAGATCTCGTGCGAGTCGGATTCATCGATTCAGAAACCATCGGCTGCGTCGCGGCCGACGTCGAACTCTACATCGCGTTGGTCTTCATCTTGGGTGTCGTTGCTATCAAGTTCTTCATGGCTGTCATCTTCGGTTGGTTCTTGAGCTGGCGTCTAGGCAACTACAAAAACGAGACTTACGAAGAACGTATGAAGAGGGCAGAGGAGATTGAGCAGTGGTCGAAGGACATATACCGTCCCGCCCCAGCAGGGTATCGCCCCAACGTCAAGAAGCATCGATCGTTTTTGCCGACCACTAGTCGTTTCAGCACGGGCATCGCCTTGAGCGGCGCAGCCAACAAAGCTGCAATGCGCACGGCGATGTCGGAGAAGAGTGGTGGTATGCGAAGTGGGCCTGCAAGTGTGGCGGGCGGTGGACATAGCCCAGCACTGCGCGCCGGTCGTCTCACGGGTCTCGCTTCCCCGATGAGCGGCAGTCCTCCCGGTTCGCCTTCGCTGCAAGGTGCTCGCTCCTCTGCGTCTTTAGTTCAAAGCGGAACTCACGGCGCTTCTGGTGGCTCTCGCCGTTCCTCTTTCTCCGGAGACGCTTCACCCGCGCTGACAGGCGCGATGGGTGCTTGTCCATTTCCCTTGCACAATGTGGTTCCTCAGCCCCCTGCCGACTTCCAACCGTTCAACTTCCCACTCGCCCACTCGATCTGTTTGGTCACTGCATACAGCGAGTCCTTCGAGGGGCTGCGAACGACCCTGGACAGTCTGGCCACTACCGACTATCCCAACAGCCACAAGCTGTTACTCGTCGTTGCTGACGGTATCGTCAAGGGAGCTGGTTCGGAGATTTCCACACCTGACATCGTTCTGTCCATGATGAAAGACTTTGTCGTGCCTCCAGAGGAGGTCGAGGGCAACTCGTACGTCGCTATTGCGGACGGCCACAAGCGCCACAACATGGCCAAGGTCTATTCTGGATTCTACGAGTACGACGATGAGACCGTCGAGCGCAGCAAGCAGCAACGCGTGCCGATGGTGCTCGTGGCAAAGTGCGGCACTCCGCTCGAGGCTGATTCGGCAAAGCCGGGTAACAGAGGAAAACGCGACTCGCAAGTGATGCTCATGGCTTTCATGCAGCGCGTCATGTTCGATGAGCGCATGACGACCTTCGACTACGAATTCTTCAACTCCATCTGGCGTGTCACTGGCGTGAGCCCGGACCACTATGAGATCGTTCTGATGGTCGACGCAGACACAAAGGTGTTCCCGGACAGTCTTACCCGAATGGCGGCTTGCATGATTGAGGACCCCGAGATCATGGGTCTCTGCGGTGAGACGAAGATTGCAAATAAGACCGAGACTTGGGTGACGATGATCCAAGGTGAGCAGACCCCTAGCTCACAGTACGGGCTGAGTAGGTGCTGATGGTCTGTCTTTCTGCACCGTAGTGTTCGAGTATTACATCTCTCATCATCAGACCAAGGCCTTCGAAGCGTGCTTCGGTGGTGTGACGTGTTTGCCAGGCTGCTTCAGTGCTTATCGTATCAAGGCCCCCAAAGGACCGAACGGTTACTGGGTGCCCATTCTCGCCAACCCAGACATCGTAGAGCACTACTCGGAGAACGTCGTTGACACGCTGCACAAGAAGAACTTGCTTTTGCTTGGTGAAGATCGTTACCTCACCACGCTCATGCTGAAAACGTTCCCCAAACGTAAGATGATGTTCGTGCCACAAGTGAGTACCTTGCGTCCCGCCCGCCAGTGTAACCGAGTACTCGCTCACTCCCCGCCCTCCTGTCTATTGCAGGCTGTGTGCAAGACAATTGTGCCAGACACTTTCAGGGTCTTGCTGTCACAGCGACGTCGCTGGATCAATTCGACGGTGCACAATCTTGCTGAATTGGTCCTCGTCAACGATCTTTGCGGAACCTTCTGCTTCTCGATGCGCTTCGTTGTATTCATGGAGCTCGCCGGTACTCTTGTGCTTCCCGCAGCCATTGGTGAGTCACCTCCTTGCGAGCTGTTGTTTCTTGCGCAGTTGTGCTGACCTCAAATACACCCCGCAGCCTTCACCTTCTATGTCGTCGCCCAGGCTTTCTACGTTCATCCTGCGCCTGTCATCCCGCTGGTGCTCTTGGCCATCATTCTCGGTCTTCCAGGTCTGCTCATTGTCGTCACATCTCGAAAGCTCAGCTACGTTGGCTGGATGTTCATCTACTTGCTCAGCCTGCCAATCTGGAACTTCGTTTTCCCATCCTAGTAAGTCGTGCCGATCGTCTCCGTCTTTGCCGAACCGGCTCGTACTAACGCCTCTCTTTTGGAATTTCAGCGCATTCTGGCACATGGACGATTTCTCCTGGGGTGCTACTCGCGTTGTGCAAGGCGACAAGGGCGGCGGCCATGACGACGTCGAAGGAAAGTTCGACGCCTCCAACATCACCATGAAGCGCTGGGCCGAGTTCGAGCGAGATCGCCGCTGGAGGTCAGGAACGCATTCGCGAGACTCTACCTATGATGTCGTTCACCGCACTGGTTCTCCCGAACGATCTGGCAGCACCCGCTACTCTATGGTCTCCTCTGACACTTTCCACTCCAATCCATCTGGCGTGGATGCCACCGGCAGGC